TAACAATGAGAACATTTTATTAAAAGTATTATCAATTATATGAATTATAATATATCTAAATATGTATAAAAACAAAACCTACACTACATAATCAAACATAAAACATGAAGTACATATTTTATATTTATGTATGATATTTAATGCAGGTTATTTTAAATGGAATTTTAACAATTTTATATTCTTAGTAGTGATTATTTGGACATAGTCATAAATACAGAATGTGGACCCTGGATCTATTCCGTATTTTTAATTAGATCAGGTAAATTATAAACATACTTTTTCAGAATTTTGAGCAGTGGGCAGCCAGTGTTAGGGTTAGCTGAAATGTGGAAGACTGTTTGATTTTTGCATTAAACTTAAGAAAGGTTAAGGTAACTCAAACTTGCTATATATACTCTAGGCCTACACATTTAATGCATGAGATTTTAAAAAGTATGTTTTCATAAAAGTAAGCAACATAATCTGTTAGTCCATGAAGTATTTTGTATTAAACTTTTTTTTTCTCCATGGTGTATTGAATACCTTGAAATTAACCATTGGATTGGATAACTTCACTGAATGTATGAGAATGTTCCTTCTCATGTCTTAAAATTACATTAACACCAATAGAAAATTAACATTGATAGCAGAATTAATAATCTTTATTTTACTAATTTCCACTCTGAAAAGATACCACTCAGTTCTGAGTCGTATTGTTTATTATATCACACAATCCTCATTTACCATTTTATGTATATTGGATACAATAATATTTGATTGTACTATTATATATATTTCCAACACCATTACATGATAGGAGTTATATTCTTTCTCAGTCAGTAAACTGTTGTGTCAATTTTAAGAGATTGATTAGGCCATAAAGTAAGCCATGATGAATGTCAACATTTTACCATGAATTAAATCTAACAATTATACTGTAGAAAGCCATGATGAATGTCAACATTTTAGGGGTGTTCAGTGGTTATCTGTCTTACCTTTATAAACATAACTAAAATACAGTATGATTGTTAGATTTAATTGAGGGATTTTAGTTATGTTTATAAAGGTAAGACAGATAACCACTGAACACTCCTAAACATAGCATGATGTAGCTAGTGATGTGTCAAGTGATGTTAAATGATCCATATGAATCATTTTCTGCTTAATTTGTAGTGTAAACTATAAAAAATGTCCAGTATTTATTATAAATATTTAAATATGTGTGACATATTCTTTTTCATCTTGAATGGTGTAGATCTCTCTCTATGTTCCAGTAAAAGCTTTGTGATCTCATTAACTTGTCAGGGAATTTTGTTTCATATAACTATTCCTTTGAACAATATGTTGCAGCAATCAACTGTCATATTAATTAAAGTTGGGTGGAGTTTAACAGTTACAGATTGATACAGATCGTGGAAGTTTGAACCTTTCAAATTTCACTTAAAAAGAAGGATGAGAAGGTATTAAGCCATTAGAGTGTAATAAAAGTTAGATATTATGTTTTATCTTATATGAAATATTTCATTTAAGTTTATAAATTAGATGAAAAACAATTCAAATTAACCAATGTAGCAGTCCTTCGTGGTTGAGAAATGCATCACGACTGTAAATAGCCCTGCCAAACAGTCAATGGCAACTGTAAGTGGGCTGATGCCTTATCTTGATTCTTTGTTTACATAATTTGAAGACAGAGGTTTATTTGTATTGAATGACTTGTACTGTTTTTCTGTTAGCAAAACAGAATTTTGCTGTCTAAACTGAAATGTGTTCACAGTGTGACTAGACTGTGATGATCTCGTGTCATGCAGAAAGTAGTTCATCAAATGCATCACAATCAAATTTGCTAATACTCGATATCTCAGTTACAAATACGTGATGTCTATATACAACAATATAGTTTGAAAAAGCCACATTACTGTACATGTAACATTGCTTGTCTAGTCTAAGCCAATTAAGATTAAAGAATCAGTTTTATAGCAACAAACAGGGTCACACACATTATCTATGAACTTGTCTGTATATACAAACAACAGCTAATAGTGTAGCCAATACCTTGACAAATAATAACAAGATTTGAATTCAAAGGTATTTATTTCTTGGTAAGAATAAAAGGATCACTAGTGGGCCCAAAACACCTGGTGTTATGACAGACTTGATGGGGACTCTAATAAGCCCTTGCAAAACACATTTTGAGGAAACTTTCAAGCATCAGTGTATGGCACCTGACAGACATTAAGGACTAACATAGGAATATTGTCAGTTAATACGCTGAATACTTTACTAATGTAGGAATATTATCAGTTAATATGCTGAATACTTTACTAACGTAGGAATATTGTCAGTTAATACGCTGAATACTTTACTAACGTAGGAATATTATCAGTTAATACGCTGAATACTTTACTAATGTAGGAATATTGTCAGTTAATACGCTGAATACTTTACTAACGTAGGAATATTGTCAGTTAATACACTGAATACTTTACTAACGTAGGAATATTATCAGTTAATATGCTGAAGACTTTACTAACGTAGGAATATTGTCAGTTAATATGCTGAATACTTTACTAACATAGGAATATTGTCAGTTAATATGCTGAATACTTTACTAACGTAGGAATATTGTCAGTTAATATGCTGAATACTTTACTAACATATGAATATTGTCAGTTAATATGCTGAATACTTTACTAACAGGAATATTGTCAGTTAATACACTGAATACTTTACTAACATAGAAATATTGTCAGTTAATACGCTGAATACTTTAACATAGGAATATTGTCAGTTAATACACTGAATACTTTACTAACATAGGAATATTGTCAGTTAATACGCTGAATACTTTACTAACATAGGAATATTGTCAGTTAATACGCTGAATACTTTACTAACAGGAATATTGTCAGTTAATACACTGAATACTTTACTAACGTAGGAATATTGTCAGTTAATATGCTGAATACTTTACTAACATGGGAATATTTGCACAGTAAATGTATGGAATATTAGTATTTGCACAGTTAATGTATGGAATATTAGTATTTGCACAGTAAATGTATGGAATATTAGTATTTGCACAGTAAATGTATGGGATATTAGTATTTGCACAGTAAATATATGGGATATTAGTATTTGCACAGTAAATGTATGGGATATTAGTATTTGCACAGTAAATGTATGGGATATTAGTATTTGCACAGTAAATGTAAGGAATATTAGTATTTGCACAGTAAATATATGGGATATTAGTATTTGCACAGTAAATGTAAGGAATATTAGTATTTGCACAGTAAATGTATGGGATATTAGTATTTGCACAGTAAATGTATGGGATATTAGTATTTGCACAGTAAATATATGGGATATTAGTATTTGCACAGTAAATGTGTGGAATATTAGTATTTGCACAGTAAATATATGGAATATTAGTATTTGCACAGTAAATGTAAGGAATATTAGTATTTGCACAGTAAATGTAAGGAATATTTTGCAAGCTTATATGGTGTCACTTGTAGTTAGGTAAATGAAAAGATAAGTCAGTAAAACAGTATATAAATCTGAGGTTGTGTTTTGGGTAAAAATGTACCTGTAAAGGTGTTAGTGGTAAAATTGTCCTAATGGGATGGATGATAATAAGGAAAGTTAGTGCAGTTTGTTTACATTGTGTTAACAGCTATTGTTTGTTGTTGTGTTGAAAATGTATATAATTTGTATTTTAAATAATTATATGTGAGTTATAAAATGGGGACTGAACTTTGTTTGCTGTGACTGTAGGCTAGTTAATTCCATTATTTTAAAACTCCACAAATTCTTAAAGTTGAAAACATACACATACCTAGATGGTTTCAGAGATACATTGAACAACACATATTTCAGTTACAAATTACTTTTTTTTATAGAAATAAAACTTGGGAAAACACTTTTTCAGTCTAGATGTATCTTTAGACTATTTTCAGTGTTTCGTTTTTGATATAAGAGCTGTAACAATGTTGAATAAGTTTGAATACTGTGCTGTACTTACCTGTTAGTATATTGATTAGTTGCACTGCTAATTGATTTTGTTTTCCATTGTAGGACCGGTGTATTGTTTACAATGCCCCAAAAGTCTAAATAGAATATGTTAGAAAGGTTCTGCGTAAAGACAGCTTCTGTGCATTGTGTGTTATGAAAATAAATTTTGAAGATTTTATAACATACACATTTCATTTTGATGATATTATCAGAAAGTTAATGTTTAGCAAAGGCAGTGGATATCATCTAAGTCTTGAACCATGTTTCAGCATTAACTCTCTATTTAGACTCATGAACAGTCGACGGCAGTTCTTTCATTTTATACCCCCCATAGCTCATTTGAGGACAAATAGCAATGGACTTGAACAAGGTAATGGCACTCAACAAGCTGCAAACCAACAGGCCCACTTCCTTTACATGCCACAACTTAGCACTGTTTCCGGCATGGGTCCTCATAGGTGGATAAATAATCACAGGTTTGGATCAGTTGATGGCTTACATTTATTGATGCAGTATTGCTCTTTCCAGCAGCCCCTTATTCAACAGACCCATTTCTCACGTTTTCCACAAACTAACACTTCTGTTGCTATGGATACAAACGTTGAAGCTACACGTGATCTTACTAAATCAGGAAGGAAAAGACATTTTGATGATAACATAAACTCTGTGACCTCAGTTTCTGTACAGAATCATCAAGGTCAGTTGCATGATTTGAATTTATTAAGCAGTTCCCAAATAGTGTTAAATGATTCTGAAGGACAAACATTTACAGGAGAACAGTTGCAGAGTTGTAAAACCAGCAGGGCAGAGGATGCAGTAAATTCTGAAGATGACCAGTATGAATTTCATAGAGAACAAGCAGGTAAAGTATTATTTAGTACTTTTATGTTGTAACTACTCATCTACTTCACAGCTTTTGAATCTATTCAAAACAAAGTCTAGGGTAATCTATACCTGAAAGTCTTATGTACATATTTTTGTAACTTCATTGATATTACTTATCAATTTAAGATATTACAAATTTATTTAAGAACTGCTAAAAGTAAACTTTTCAATATTCTTGTATAATAAATTGAACAAAAGTGTCTTATTTGCAAAATTAGTTTTTGTTTCAAAAATATATTTAGCATAGCTTTTAATGATGTTCTGGCAAAATTGTTTACTCTTGGCAACATTACACTTTACATGTATAAATGTAACCTACTTGTATTAACACAGAGCTCAACACTAACATGAGAACTCTTTTTATCTGTTCTCTTGTCTAAAACTAATCTTCAGTGGCTGGAAGGTTATTAGTGGCCTTTCAATAATTTGGTGTTATATATCTACTGATAGATTAATAAAACACTAGATTTTCAACAGAAAATAGATCATTTAATGAACCTTTACACATGTGGCAAGTGAACACTTCTCTTAACAAAGCATACATTTCTGAAACTTAGCTAATTACAATAAAACTAATTCAGCTCTTACACTGTTGCATGTAAACTTTTCAAATTAACAATACTCAATAAATCCTCTCTTTACTTCTTCCTTTCAACATTGTTGGCTTGAAGTTTTTTTTTTTAATATTTAAGCAGAAAGATCTCAGGAGTATGTGATTAGGCCACCATCTTCTGAACTCTTAACAAGGTTATGAATAACATAAATGTTGATTGGTTCAAATGCTTCCAACCAATGAAAATGCATACTTCTACACTGGCAATAATGTGGTACTGTCTCCTATAAAACTGTAGGAAGTAAAGGTTATGAATAACATAAATGTTGATTGGTTCAAATTCCTCCAACCAATGAAAATGCATACTTATACA